GGGGGTATTTCCACGGGGTTCAGCAGGACCAGCAGCTGCCACGGCCGTACCTGCCGTACCAGGAGTAAGGGCTGCAAGAGCCAAAGGATCTGCCATAGCCCCACAGACCCCCATAACCCAGGGATCCATATCCCCCATAACCCCACAGACCCCCATAACCCAGGGATCCATATCCCCCATAACCCCACAGACCCCCATAACCCAGGGATCCATAACCCCCATAGCCCAGGGAGCCCCCAAAGCCTCCGAGAACGGGGGCTCCGGAGGATCCCACGACTGAATCCTGAGGGAAGGAGCTGAGGATGGGCCCGGGGAAGGTGACAACCACGGGGGGTGGCTGGATCACAGTGGTGGAGTCGGGGCACTGGCGCACACAGGGCTCGTTGCCGCTCTCAGCCAGGGGCTGGGGGCGGAGGACGCCGCAGGCAGAGCTGGGGGACAGGTCGTAGCAGGACATCTTGTAGGGGATGGGAGCTCCCACACTGGAGGATTAGGCTGAGGAGAAGACAAGGAGTTCAGAAATCAGCATCAAAAAATAACCAGCCAGGCGCAGCGTTCTGAGGAAATACATCGATTTCTCCCGTTGCAACGTTAAGGCTTTCAAAAACCCTCCAAATGTTTCCCAAATGCCCCCACCTTGCTCAGAAAATCCCATCCCTCAAAACACCCTGAGAAGAACTGAGAGGTGGTTTTCAGGCATCAAAAACTGAGAACCGAGGAGCAGAGGCAGAGAGAGAACAAAGTGACTTTGCCCAAGGTCGTTTTGATGAGTCAGGAGGGGAACTTGGATTTGGGTTCAGCATGTTTACATGAGATGTAGCTTATGTAGAACTTAATTACAGTAGCTTGATCTTCCCACTTATCCCAGTTTTGATGAGAGCCAAGGGAACAACAGATTATAGGATTGCAAATGCCTGGGTTGTTCCGAAAGCCATTTGACAAGACAATAAAGTTCAAATCTCTCTCTAAGTGAGTCCTGAAAGCCCTGAGCAGAGTCTTGAGGAAGAACAGGAAAAGAAGAAAGTAAAGGGAAGCCAGAAGATTCGTGGTAGCAGGTTGCTCCAAGCCCTGCCCGACCTGGCCTTGGACACTTCCAGGGATAAAGGGGCAGCCACAGCCTCTCTGGGCAACCTGTGCCAGGGCCTTCCCACCCTCACAGAGAGGAATTTCTCCCCAATATCTCACCTAAACCTCCTCTCTGTCAGTCTGAACCCACGTCCCTTGTCCTGTCACCCCAGTTCCTGATGAACATCCCTCTCCAGCTCTCCTGCAGCCCCTTCAGACCCTGGAGGGTGTTCTGAAGTGTCCACACCACCTTCTCCTCTCCAGGGTGAACATTCCCAGCTCTCCCAGCCTGTCTCCACAGGGGAATGGGGGGGAGCTCCAGTCATCTCAGCTGACTTAGAGCATTGCCCAGTTGCTCCAAAGTGTTTCTTGCACCAAGAACTCCGCAGAGCTCCACGCCCCAAACCGCTGTATCTGCCCCCTCCAGAGACAGAAGAGACTCTTCATTAGAGCCCCTGCCACGAGTCAGTGCAGATGCACCAACAGAGCCGGGGGGGGACACCAACTCAAGCTGAAACCAGCACCAGAAAGACACCCCAAGAGCACCAGGGAAAGATCAGACTTACCCAAGTCACGGAGAGAGTCGAGGGAAGTGTTTGGAGGAGCGAGGAGAGGGAAGAGCTTTTATAGCAGAGCTCGGAGGTCCGAGAGCAGCACGGGCTGCCCGCCCCAATTCCGAACCCGCGTCACCACCACGAGGTGATGAAATTGTTGGGTTCATTACTGGCCTTTACGAGGCCTTTCAGATTTGTTTGTAACGATGATCCAAACATCTCCTGAGATTATGGGGAATCCTTTCATCTTGTGACGGACTTATGGGGGGGGGGGGGAGGAAATTAGTCCTTGGCGTTGTTCCTGTCGCTTCCTTGGAACTGCAGCAGAAATTCCTGAGCCAGCACCTCTTGTTGTGTATTAATTTCACACCTGAAGAATGGCTCAGGGGTTTAAGGGGATTACAAACTGTAGTGTCATGGAGGGGGGATTTGTTTAAGTGCCTGTAATTCCCATTACAAGCTACCCCGACAGAATTTACAGCCTGTCCATGTGGCATGCAGGAAGTTTGGGGGTGGTTTCTGCTTGTTTGTCTTCCCCATCTACAGTTGGGAGCCTTGGTTTGGAAGGTCCAAGGGTCCTCAGGGTTGGAAGGTCCAAGACCAGGTTGGATGGGATTTGGAGCAACCTGTGGAAGGTGTCCCTGCCCATGGCAGGGGTTGAAATGATCTTCCAGGTCCCTTCCAACCCAAACCATTCCACCATTCTGTGATTCTGTAAAGCACAGTGGGAGAGAGAGAGCTGTTAGAAAAGCTTTCAAAGGATGTTCTATCTCTGCCTTCTGCTCAAAATGTCCCAAAGGACTTCCCAGTGTTTGAGAAAAGGACAGGGAGAGCAACCCATGGCTGAATGCACAACAAAGGTAGCAATTTGGTTGCACTATTAAGCACTGAGCAGCTCTAAAGATCAAAGTGACCACCCCAGAGTTGCTCCAAAGAATTTGTTCTCCCAGGTCTGTCCCACCCTGGATTTATTAGGAATAAAACCGCGCACCTCAGGTGAGCAGACGGGTTTCTGCCATCAGCAGGGGAGAAGCTAAGGGAGGGCTATTAGGCTAATTCCTGCTGCAACGCCAGGGATGTGAATGGGATGATAACAGGAATAAATATGACATGTCACCACGGGAGATGAAAGGGCTTTTTCGGCGACCAAACGCCCCCATCGCGTTTCACGAGAACTCGGAATCCGACAAACAAACAGAAGAGTCAGCAAAACTTTGAGGGCCTTACGTGTCGTATTAGTTTTGGGCTGGCCCCAATTAGGCACGTCCACAAATTGCTCCCGAGTTGATCCCTGGGATCTTGGGAACTGTATAAAAGCTCTCCCAAGCCAGGGCTCTTCACTTCACCTTCCTTGCTTTGTTCACCTCCGTGAGAAGGGTAAGTGCCATTCTGCGGGAATTCTTTCCCTAAAATTCCAGTATCTCTTTTCTTCTGGCTTAACTAAGGTTGGAATCATCCACAAGTGCTCAGAGGGTTCTTAATAATGTTGGATTGTTCTGTCCTGACTTTGTTTTTCTTCTCTGGCCTTCGACAGCCATGTGTTTGGGTCTGAAATGGTAAAATTGGGGTTTGCAGGTGTTGTTTCTTGTCAGTAGAAATTAGGGCTACTAAAGCAGCTTCCAGAACCTCAGCAGAAGGTTTGTTCAGTTGATAGGAATTTTTTTTTAATGATTATATCATGTGAGTTCTTGATATGTGTCTATTTATATGTGTGTATTGTTGAGGGGACAAGCTCAAATCCCAACCTGACTGAACTAAGATAACACCAGCAGTGTCTTCCACTTTAATATTTTATTGTTTCTGCTGGTAGGGAAAAAAAAAAATTGTTCACAGGCAGTATTCCTTGTCCTTCCATGCTGGTGTAAAACAAATATGAAACAACTGCTCACACACAGCTGTTGTAAAAATGGCTAAAAAATGGATAATGTAAAAACACATCTTAGTTCTTGGCAGGCATAACGTTGTGTAGACATTTAGAGAAGCTTTGAAAATCTGCTTTGTGGGGAAAAAGAAAAAGAGCATAAAGATTGCAAAGCGAGAAACCAATTTATTTACTCAGAACTTCGTGCTTGACTGGCTGTTTTGGTGTTGAATGTTGAATTTTTTGAGTGAGGGGCGATGAGAGAGAAGAGCTTGGAGGGCCAAGATCAGCACTGGTTGCCCTCCCCAGTGTCAAACAGGCGTCACCACTGAGGTGATGAAATTGTTGGGTTCATTATTATGAGGCTTTTCAAATTTGTTTGTAACGACGATCCAAACGTCGCTTTGGATTGTGGGGAATTCCTTCACCTGGTGAGGGATTTGGGGAATGAATTAACACCTGGCGTCGCTCCAGGAGTGGAATTCTCTTCTCTGCAGCCTGATCATCGCCGTGTGTTGCAGATTCACTCCCATCCCCACTGCGAGATGTCCTGCTACGACCTGTCCCCCAGCTCTGCCTGCGGCGTCCTCCGCCCCCAGCCCCTGGCTGAGAGCGGCAACGAGCCCTGTGTGCGCCAGTGCCCCGACTCCACCACTGTGATCCAGCCACCCCCCGTGGTTGTCACCTTCCCCGGGCCCATCCTCAGCTCCTTCCCTCAGGAT